GTACTGGCTACAGGTTATTAGACACAGGTTATTAGATTACAGCACTTCTTGTGTTTCTATTAAAATCATTTGATATGACTAAGCACAAAAGATCAAATTTCTACGTCTTTTTCATTTCCACATGTGATGTCAGTGACTAATTTTAGTGATGAGATTTCAAAGGTATGCATGTAACTGGTGTTCCTAAAACACACACACGCTTTTGAAAACACCTTTCAACTTGGAGGATTACCTACTAATTTCTCCATTATTATGACATGGAAGAGAAATCAGTTCCTTGTGTCTCTTCAGTTTGTGACAATAAGATCACATCCAGGTGGGCCTTGAATGCATTGGTATTGAATCATTATTTATTTCAGCATTTGATAAAGTAAAAAGAAATGCTAGAGGTTCTTCTTGAGTATGGTAAAACCCCCATTGATGAGAGAGACAGAGGGATCTCCTCCTTTCTTCCCTCGTATTTGGTCCAAATGAGTATCAAGGACTTTTCAGCTTCTCTTTGAAATATCCACTCGGAAAAAGGAGCAAACAAGGCTTATAAAAAATGCAGTACATGGTTGGCTGTTCCTGCAACCCCAAAGGGGTGCAGTTGCACCCCACCTTTGATTTCTGGTCTACTCAAAGTTTAAAACTGCCTGACAGTGGCACCAGGATTTCTATTTATGCAGGAATGAAGGAGTCAATTGACTTCAAGGCTCATTATATTTTACCTGATTCTTTCTAAACTCTTCATTCCATTGGTGTTAATGACCCTCTCTCTTCTTTTAATGGTCTTGATATTACACTAATCAAGCTATCCTTTCTGTTAGCTGCTCTTCTTAATGTAGGCTCCTATTTCACAGCCCTACAGGCTCTCTTAATTCTAGCTAAAGACATTATTTCAGGTGAAAATCAACTCAGGTGTGGAAATAATTTTCCGTGAAGCACTGCTTGCATTGTCAAGATGTTTTATCAATCTGAGAGAGAGATATATTTAGTTCTAATGACAACAGGACTAAAGAGACAACATCTTTTGATTTAATTTTAGCTTAGTTTAATGCATTTTACACATAACATATGAAACAGCAAATGAATGCACATTTCAATAGTTTTATTTTGCTTTGATCTTAAATTGAATAATATAATACATATATACTAATATGCTTCTAGCATATTAGTAAAGCTTCTAGTTCCTTTTTATCTGGAGAAAAATGTGTGATGATGATGTACCATACCATCTGCATCCCCCTTGCTGGCTCTGGATTTAGGACCCAGACATCTTGGTCTGGGTGGGGGACCCACCCTCAGACCAACCACCATCTTTTCAATAATAGGCAAATTTATTAATACACAATGATAACAGAAAAGAAACAATGCAAACAATCAAGCAATTATATATATCTACTAAACCCTGTCATCAGAGTCAAAGTACATGTGGCCAGGATGCAGTCTTCACTCAGACATTCAGAAAGGAGGAAGCCTTCTACACAAATTGGCCCACTGAAGGCAGGGAAGAGGGGATGCCTGGTGTAAATTACAGGTCAAGATTACCATTCTGGTACACTGCCCCCCGAGCAGCTGCATCCTCTTACAATATTCTACGAGCTAATGTTTTGCACAGGTTGCTGGTACCATACTTCTTTTCATCCTTTAAGTGCTATGGAAAGGTACGGTCTGTCCCATATTCTTTTTCCTGCCTTATCTTTAAGCATTACTTCTATCAGAAGCTTTTTGATTGTAATTTGCTGAACTCTGCTCACTGCTCAGTATTGCAAATTCTAGAGAAAAATCTTGGTGAATGTACGTTTGTTTTCAGGTCCCATTGTCCTAATCCAGAGCACAATTTCTAAGAGGGCTAAGAACCTGTAACTTCCTTTGACTTCCCATTGAAATTAGTGGGAGCTGCAGGTGCTAGCATTTGGCCTCAAATGTGCAATTCTCTGGCAAGTGTTCGTTAATTGACATTTTATTCCTGCTGTGGAATGACAGTGGAAGCTAAAACATCAGTACTCTTAACTGAGCAGTTGGATCTGTGCTCTGTGTAGAAATCAAGGGCAGTTTTGCAAAAATGGTTTGAGAAAGATGCATCAAGCCTCTGTGCCAGGCAAATTGAATTTGCAAGACTTTAGCTGCCCAGGGAGGTGGAAGAGAAGATAGTATTAGGGACTTCCTCCTTTGAGTATACTGATTTAGCATATTCCAGCAAGATTCGGAATCTTTGAAGGCTGCTGTTAAAATTTCAATGATGCTAAAGATATTTTGTTAAAAAAAATTCCTATGGCTATTTTGCTGCAAAATCAAACGGATAAAATTTAAAATATCAGGCTTAAAAAAAAATTCACAAAAAGACACCATACATGAACCTGTACCATAGCAGGCCTAACTAGTTTTATTTTCATAACTTGCATTTTCAAATGAAGTTCCATATATGTAAAAACTCTCAATAATTTAGAAAGATAAGCTCATGTCAAGAGTGACTTGAGTATAGATGTTTCTTCCAGCCATGTTATAAAGTGTATTAAAATACTTATTTGAAGTCTGGCAAGTGGAGGTTTGATGGCCCCAGTAAAGCCAGCATGGCCAAGGCAGTATATCAAACAATCACTAATATGGTTACAGTTGGCTAGGCTGTGTCCCCTCTGTTGGGTAGGACTCTAAACTGGGCTTCACATAACCCCACTTGGGGTTCTTCTTTGAGAGTAGAGAAGACAGACAGGCACAGAGGATACATCAGTGATTTCCTCTTTCAGTGGAAATGCTGTGTGGTGATATGACCCCAACGCTACTTCCAGCCTTGATTCCTTCTTTAGCTCTGGGAACTTCTCTGAAGATGAGGTAGCTTTCTTTTGTATATATCTTAGCAACTGCTGGGCTCAGAAATATTTTTTATATATCTTAGCAACTGCTGGGCTCAGAGATGGAGACTGAGATACTCAGCACCCAAGTTGCCACAGCTGTGATTAAGAAATTAGAATCTCTGTCCTTGGAAGAATTTTATTTCATGTCTTTATGGGCTTTTCAGCTTTGAAGCCATTTGTTCCAAGTTTAGTCCCCATCTTGCTTGTGACTCTTCATTCCCTTTGTGTGTGGGTACTTTGCAGGCATGACTAATGCACATGCCATAGTTGGTGCCAAGGTTACTGATGTCAGTGCTGCCTATGCCAGTGACTTTATTGATGAGGTGGTCAGTTTTAAGTAGCTGGTTCTGGCTTAGTCACCATTCTCTTTGCCTTCTTTCATCACCTGATTTCAAGGTTTGATGTATACCTGGCAGCACTCCCTCATCAACTAATTTCCCTGGCACTGTCTGGTAGTGACAGTCACATCTGTATTCAAAGCGGCTTGTTCGGGAGATGTGGCTTGAACCAAGTGTCCCTTGATTTGCAAGTTCTAGCAAAAGAGAACCTGCACAAAACTCTTCACTAAAAATGCAGCTGTGTCCGTTTTTACTGGGAACCAGTCCATTTTTATAAGAGTCTCTGCAGTGAGCAGGAGATCTTCCAGGAATCCATTTCGCTGTCTTGAGTGGTGAGAGGGAAGTCACTTGGCGCCTCACCTGGGAGCATGGGACAGCAGGTGGCCCCAGTGGATGCCACTACTTAAAATAATTTGGTTTCACATAACTAGTGGGCAGGCAGAGGGCGGGATCCACAGACACATAGATGGCAGGTGACACCACTAGAGTATGCAGTAGACATATACGTCACTAACATAAGCATAAGCAGTAATCTAATAAATGAGTATGCTATGAATAGGACCCAGCTGTATGCTATGAATAGGACCCAGTTCAGACAGCAGAATATGCTATTGTATTGATGGCTGATTAACAGGGCCTGATGCTCCTTTCTCTGATGCTCCTTTCTCTGAATCCAAGAGGAAAACTCCAGCTGTTTTCAAGGCAAGTAGAACTGAACTCAGTATTGTTTTATAAAGAGGTAGATGTCAATATTTAGCCAGCTAACAATCAGACTTTGCCCATAAATCAGATAATAGACATTCTAAAGCTGGTAATGTTTCCTGTGTTTTGCCTATGAAATCTGAGACCAAGCTGAATTCCCTTTAAATATTTGGCCCATAAAGTTTTCAAGTGACTAAACATACCAATTTTCAGGTCACAGAAAGGTAGCTGTGTTGTTCTGAATCTGCAGTTAAATTTAATTTTAGAAATAAGCATCTATCTTGATTTCCTCAGCTACCAATAGCTAATTTATTTCAATGAAAAGAGGCATTATGTAAATCATTGCTAATGACCATTTCCTATTACTAATGAGCTGGAAGCCCATTATATGCTGAATGATACAAATGGACCTACCTTAGCATTCGGAGTAGCCTTAATTGTCCATATGCAGTCAACTGCTTGGCCAGGTTTTGTTTTTTCTTCTTGTTCTACTTGACTGGAACGTACTATTCCATCAGCTCCTGAGAGCTCGAATTGGCAGTCTATAGAGAATATACAACTTGCTGTCAAATGCAATGCAAGACCGATTCAGAATTTCATGTACAAAGAAATTGGAACTGTAATACTACACCTGGAATGGGATTTAAAATACCTCCTAGGTAAGTGAAGTCTGGATCTGTAATGGGGGAAAAAAAAAAAATAAATCCCTGGTGCTTGTACCGTTTGAGTCATTTCAAAGTTATAATCTAGACACAATGTTCTCAGTTTTTTTATCCCCATGTTATTTTGCAATCTGATCTAAAATCACGGGTGAATTTGTGCACCTGTGTTGTTTTGCACTAAAACTTGCAGGGCTTTGGAAAGGTGTTGTCTATGTATGTTAGATTTCAAGATCAAAGGCTGGATGGCTAACTATATACAATTTAAATTGGAAGAAGCTTACAAGTGCAATGGGATCCCAGGGTGTGGCAACCAATGCCTTATGGAGCCTTCATATCTGGCCTGCAGAGCTGGAGGGCTTTGGAGATGGGGAGCTTCACCTGCATCATGCCACACTGTGGCCATGTGGCAGGGAAAAGCAGAAACTAGGTCCTAACACAGGCCTGTCATTCTGACCCGTTGCAGGAAAACATTCCTAACTGTTCCGATTTAACAATGCAACAGGAATTTGAAATAGCTAAAGTACTCAGGAATGGATCACAAAAGCCAAGAAAGCACCAAGGACCACATGTTGCCTTTGATACGCATGCGCCTCCCACTAGCGTCGGCCACAGATATGCCTGTAAGAACAGAATGCAGCCCTAATTTTCTCTAATCTTATCATGCGTATGCATGTCTGAATGTGGTCCTGCTAACGAGCGAGTGATAGAAACACCTCCGTGCTGGTTGTGGACTTCAGTGGAACCACAGTCTGGCCCAAAATGAGCATGGGTCCAACACTTATCATTTCAAAGGCAGATCAGAGCCTAACAGGTGAACTTTGTAAGGTACATGTCCATGTCTTTTCCAGGCAAAATGCTATATTTTTGCAGGTCACTATGATGCTATGCTAGCAGCTTCACCAAATACGTAAATAAATGCTGCTCAGACAGACATTCCAATCTGTACAATCTGTGGCTACATGCCCATTTTGTACCAAAGCCTGATCTTACTGACCACAAACACCAGAGTTTGCCTTTTTCTGTGGGCTCTTTTAATATTCTTCTATAGAAGGGATTTGCTGTGACACCAAAAAAAACAAGCTGACTTAAGTACTCAGTACGGTTCAGAACATTCCATCCTTAATTCTCCTTATTTTAGCTTTATTTTGTCAACTCTATGGTTGCTGCATGGCAATTTCTGGAAGACAGATTTCAGCCTCTTTCTGGCTCTCCTTTTCCTTGAGGTTTAATAGTTTAGGGTTTTAAGAGTTTCTCATGTTTTTCTCATTTTCACTAGTCCTGCAAAAGTATTT